CTTTTATTCCCCTTTCTCATTTACTGTCCATTTCTCCATCTGCTGAATTTAGCCACACCACAAAAGGCTTTGTTTCAGCAAACTGGTGAGCCTTTGGGACAGCAGAGTGCACACTGGGGTTTACGCTAAATTGCTGCCATCAATAGAGAGAGCAAGATCTGGACTGGCCACGGTTGAGCCTGGCAGAGGGACGACTGCTAACCGTTCCCTGTCAGTCCTCTGATGAGACTGGCTGGAGCCTGTCTGGGAGCTGTGGACACTCACACACACACACACACACAGCGTTGTTCTTGAAAAAAACCAGCCAGTATCTTGACAGAGATGGGGGAGCACATTCTGAACAGGCCTATAACAGGGAAAAATCCCAGCTCCGTAAACACTCCAGCAGTCGTTTTGTTTGTTTTTTTTTTTAAACCTAAAGCATAAAAAAATACATGGTCTCACTGTGTATCATGAAAAATGAAATGCAAAGGAGTGGCATTGATTTTTGCACTCTGTGTTGCTCATACTGGGCAAGCTGCTACTTAACAATGTAGTGGCTCGTAGTCATCAATTTAAAAAGGTTTCAACGATTCAATAAGTCACTGAAGGCTTCACACAGCTACACACAGCTACTCAAGATGATGAAAGCAGCTACAGCAGCATGACTAGACCATTAAATGTAGCTCTGGTATGGGAATTATCAAAAAGTTATGTTATACCCTAATATCCAAGATTATATCTATATTATTAACATTTCAAGGTAATAACTTTATAAGAGGGTGGGCAACATGAGATTTTACTCTTCACCTGAAAGTCCAAGAACAGACTGGGTTTTGGGATGCATCAAAACAACATTTTAACCAAGGAGTTTTTGGATAAAGGCAACAAAAATCATCTTCTCTCCATGAAAAGGAATGGAGTGAGTCTGAAAATCAATTGGCTTTGCTTTCTAACTTATGTTCTGCTGCTATCACTGTTGTATTGCTCTCAGTTTTAGCCTTATACCTGCTTGATATCTGAATATCAGTATCATAATTATTTCACCAAAGTATAGTGTCAGGTTATACAGATGAGGAGAGACAATCTTCTACATTCCTACACTTCTGAATCAACACAGCCTCTACAACCAACAACAGCTTAAAATAATGCTTGTTAGCAAAATCATCCTCTAGAGAGAACGCCTCTGCTTCTGTTGAATCTGTTACTTAAGGCGTTGGACAGGTAGAAAAACTCATGTTGTTTACAATTGTCCAGAAAAGAGAAGGCAAGCACAGCAGAGCCGCCTTCCCCATGGATAAAGTTAAAGAGGCAGTTGTGGATCGTCTGCTCTTCATTGAAGCCAGACGCTTCTCAGAGTAAATGTTCAGCCTGGCTGCACTCCACTTGATCAATGTCACCACAGATCCAGATCTCCCTTATGTCAATCCTCACACCTGCATACTCACCATAAACATGGATTCCAGACACAAACCTGCACATAACAAGGCCGAGTGAGTGGAGCGGGAGTGGGTTGTGGAGATTGCGACCTCTGTAGTGACAGCTGGACAGTGGAGAAGCTCAGACAAACAGCCCACAGTGAGGGAAGACAGGAGGCCAGTTGCATTAAAACAAACACTCACTCACTATTTGTACACTCCAGCAGATAGAGAAGGGAGGACCTATATCTGTGGGGGAATGAGTCAGTGAACTCAGGAGCACCATTATCTGCATGTGTTCGCGTGTTTGCATGACTGTGCAAGCAAAAAGACAGTTGGGATGGTGGGGGTTGCTGTGAGGGGAGGTGGGGGGCTTCTTTCAGAGCACAGCCGCTGAGCGCATTTACAGTATTTGCTCATTAAGAAATAGATCAGGGATTCTGCCTGCATGCGTAGCGACTTGTCAGGATCTCTCAAGCTAAACTGTGGTGAGCCTCCTGCCTTGGGGGGGAATCCAAAGAGGAGTAAGTAGCGTGCTCTGTGAACACTGGTGGTGGCACGGCACACAGAAAAGCAACTCATTCACTAGCAAATCATGCAGTTAAAAAAATCAGTTAGTAATGTGACCATAGTTGTTGAGCGGAGTAAGTGGAAGGCACTGAACGCAGAGATGCTGTGTGGTCACACTGTGGCCCAGTAATTAATCCATTGTTTAGACTCTTTGCTGTCGATCAACAGAGGACGCTCTTGAGCCATGTGCACCAATCAGCAATTTATACAGATAAATGCTGATGGTGGCAGCGGTGGCTGTGCCAGAAGAGGATTTAGACACTCTCGGAGCAATCTGCAGGGTACGTTAGGGGACCAGTTCCTCTTCATATTAAGAGGTCACAGAAAAACAGCTTATCCAAAAGTCTGAACTAAATGTCCGCAGCAAAGACACAATCCTGACAAAAAATAAACCTTTCTTGCATTTGTGCACAGGTAAAAACACCATTGTTAGCAAGACCTACATTAGTTTTTTTCCTCTGAGAAAATGAAGCCGCGATGAGCAGACAAATCTCTCCAACATCAGAAATTCTAAATATCATGCTAACCACACAGCTTCACCATAAATCCAACCAAAACATTGCAGCTCCCTGCAGAGACACGGAGGCAGCGGCAGAGAAGCCTTACCTCACAAAGCTAGATCCAAGTTTGTCCACTCAAAGCAATTTCTCTGTGGCCTGGTGGGGTTAGCCCTATTGATCAGATGAATGCGCGATGGCGTGCTTCTTGAAAGCCTTTCCTGGACAGCTCGCCTTCAAAGGCATCACTTGAAAGTGATTCACTGAGCAGAATTTTTTCATCTGTGCTCATATTCTCCATTATTTAAAGACAGAACAAAACTAACTGCACTTCATTGCTTTCATAATGAACTGAGATGATCAGCAACAGCTTTGGAGATATTTTAACAGCAATTCTCTTCATGATCTTGTCTTCCAAGAAACAACTTGGAAGCACAAATCCTGAGTCATTTAAAGGTTATTGTAGGTTCATAGATGGTAAAAAAATAATTTAAACCAAAGCTCAACTGTGTAAAATAGTGAAATAACAGCTGCTATAGAGCCAGGTCAGAGGGACTGTTGCTCAGTGGCAACAGAACATTAGTGAATGTTTTGTTTATCATTAGTTTGTCGTTAATTGGGTGAATATAATCAGCATGGAATAATCAAACCAGTGCTGAGTGATGATTTGTCCTTTCAAAAGCAGCAATTTCCACCCTGGTGGTTGCTCTGGGGTCATACCGCTGTTTCACATTGAGATGGATATTAAAATAATGATGTGAGTGGGTCACGCTTCAGACGCACAAAAACTGATTTCAAGAGGAAGAGGAGGGCTTTGATTGCACAGGCAGAGGGATTAATATGCTACCTGTCAGCCGCAGCAGATGTAAGTTATTTTCATGCAAATGTAAGGCAATTTTCTACTTAAGACAACATTTATTTTCTTTAGAGCCATTGTCACGGGTGCTTGCCGGAGGGCTGACAGCCTGACAGCGAATAAAGATTTGTAGATGCACCTGCTGAATAGGACAGATGAGGTCTAGAGTCAATTTGAAATCCTAAACTGATGCCATTGTTACTGTTGTGTGTTTGGTTGCAATTTGGGGTTTTGGTTTTAGCACTTGATGAGATGAGAGCACATTTAACAGGAAATATGTGGCCGTCATAGGATGTGAACTAGATCAGTGACCTCATGTACCTATTTTAAAAAGTGAGACGTTCAACAGCGTGAAAACAGGTTCTGACACAAGGACACAAGGTTACTAACTAAAACTAACTAAAAGTGTGTGTGTCCTTGTAGTCTGAAGTATACTACTCTAGTCACTGCAGTGGAAGGAGTATTCAGATCTGTTACATAAGTAAAAGTAACTGCGCCCTACTGTTAAAATACTGCACTAGAAGAAGTCCTGCACTCAACACCTAGTACAAAAGTATAATCAGCAAAGTTCACATATATAAAGTAAAAGAAACATGGTCCCTGTTGGTGTTTTGCTGTTCTGTATGATGTTTTTGGATTAATATTACTGGTGCAATAATGTATATAACCTTACTGCTGTAGCACTAATTTGAACTACTTTATAAACTGTGGGTCAGTGCTTCATATTCTGTAGGATCATCACATTTCTATGATCCCTATGTTAAGTTTAGCGTGACAAACAGAGCATTTAGCTGCTATTCCAAGGCTTTTTAAAAATAGTTTACATAGATGAAGGTGTAGGAGAATTTATTCAACCTATAAAGGAACAATGAATCATTCAGGTCATGAGAAAAATTAAGAGGGAGATGAAACAGAGTAACTACAGGTGTCAGGTAAATGTAGTGAAGTAAAGTCCTAATATTTGCCTCTGAAATGTAGTGAAGTATCACAAAGTAGACATACTTAAGTAAAGTATCTTGAATTTGCACTTCTTAAGTAAAATACTTGGGTAATTGCACGTAGTCCTTTCCACCACTGACCATTCATCTGGTGTCTGTCACTAAACACTGGACAGTCTAGTCCTATGAGGACTGCAGGAATTGGGGAATAAAAGCTAGTGAATAACTGCTGGTCAAGCAACTTGATGAAATACTGTAAAAGAAGATTTTACTAACACAAGGCAGAACATTCCACCAGCTGGAATGGTCATCTCTGTGGAACAGACTGTTACTCAGTGCATTAGGAGGTATAGCTAAACTCTAATAAATGAGAATCGAGCATAAACGACTGTCAAGGATCCATAGCAACACCTGTGCCCGCTGTAGGTGCAGCGCGCACTTCCTAATGGTCTGAGATGCTCAGACCGCGCAGTATATTTTATGGTCACTCCTCGTCATTCATTTGGGCGTCAGACTGAGCTGTGGCAAAGCCACAATGAGAAACCGAACCCTCCTCAGAACCTGCAGCCTGACATGAAAAATGTCTCCAGTTGTTTCTCCGCAATGTCGGAAATCAGCCCTGTACGGAAGAGTGTGCCTGTTTTTGGCTTGTAGCGCATATGACAGTCGTGTGGGATTGAAACAAATATTTACACGCAGCAAAGCAGATTTGGCCTAAACAAGCGTGTTGATCGCCACTCACCTCTTCATTTATACTGGATCTCCCGGTTCCCCTGCTCCCTCCAGCGCAGCTTGCTGTCTTCTGGGCTTTAACTGATGCGCTAGACTCACATCCACAGTCAAAAGGTTCCCAAATGCTCTATCTGGACACAGTCTCCCTTTGCCGGGATGCTTCGATAATTTTTACCTTCACCACTTCTTCCAGTTCCGTAGATATATGTGCCTATAAGAAACCTGTGCCACAGCAGCATTCATTCAAGTAAAAGCCTTCATTACCGCGACTGACAGCAAATTCGGCGCATAAACAGGCTTCACCGTCAGGGCTGACCTCCTAATGTTACTTTACCAGACCGTGTCAATGAAACGGCACATTCCTTCAGTTCGGGATTCAACGTGCCCCAGGCTGTTCTACAGTAGCTACGTGCAGGTTATGTACAAGCTGTGGCCAGGCTTGCCATCGTCCAACGACGTGATTTCGCAGCGTCGCCTCAGACCCGCAGCGGGGTTTTCTCACGGAGCTCTGCCGGTCACACATAGACGAGCGGCTCCATCCATGTACAGTAGTGTGCGCACGCTGCCGCTGGCACACCGCGCGTTTAAACCCAGCCCCTCACACTCCGGCTCCTTATGGTGTTAACTGTTTCCGCCCAAAGGAAAACATTAATAATACATAGAGAATTAGAACAGCACTTTATTATTTAGTCTATTATACTAAAAATATACGGTTTAACACTAAGCACTTTGTTCATCATAATAATGAATGAACACTACACTGCAAACTGTATTATGATTCATACTGTAACAATACAGAACAATTTGCAATGCAAATCACCCCCCCCCCCCCCAAAAAAAAGACCCCACCAAAGATTTTAAAAGCACT